GACGCAAGTACCGGCTGGTCCAGAGAAGGATGAAGGCTTTGAGGAGCCAGCAGCTGTGGGGAAGGTGACCCTACACCCCCTGGACTATTGGGTGATTGATAGTGGCGCTACCTATAGCATGACACCTCGCCCGGACTTGCTCACCGAACTCGAGCCGTCACCGGTGAAGCATGTCACATCGGCTTTGGGGCAGCGAGCAGAGGTGAAAGGCATGGGCAAGGCCATGTTCAAGGGTGCTGATGGGAAGATGGTGGGCCTCAAGAACGTGCTTTGGGTGCCCAGCCTTGCTGCAAACCTGATTTCCGTGCGGCGGTTGGCAAAGGCCGGCATGGACACGAACTCGAAGGGAGCCAAGACCTACACCACAAGGCTTGGCGATCGAATTCTTTGGGACCTTCATGAGGACAGGGATGTCTACAACGAGATGTGGCATATCCCAGTGGTCCCTATGCCTAAGGAGAGGCAAGTGGCAGCAAGCATCAGCACCAAGGATGGAGCGGTCGGTAGCGACGATGGCGCGAACGGTCGCGCTAAGGAGAATGAGCTCAAGAAGAGCAAACCTGGAGGGACCAGCAAGTTCAGTGAACCTAAGGAGAGTGGTGCAGCAACCAAGGAGCAGCAAAAGGGTGAGGAGAACCCAGAGGCAGCAGCGGAGGAGGACTACGGAGAGAGTATGTGGGGCGCTATTGCGAGCGCGGCATTCTCCAATCCAACTTCGGCTACGGGGGAGTGTGATTGGCTCACCTTGCATCGGCGCATGGGGCATGTGGCCCTGCCCATCTTGCAGCAGCTAGTGAAGAATGAGATGGTTGCTGGCATACGTGTGAAGGGGGAGCCCGATGAGGTGCTTGGCTGCCCGACGTGCATTCAAGCCAAGTTCACCCGGTTTCCGTTCCCTAGTTCGGAGGCAACGGCAAAGGCACCGCTTGATGAGGTGGTGATGGACGTGGTGGGCCCCCTGAAGCTTGGAGCTGCTGGAGCTGAGTATTTTCTCACCATTGTCGACGTCTACACCCGCATGATTTGGGTGTACGTGCTGGCCAAGAAGAGCGACGTGGCTGAAACGTTGAAGACGGATTGGTTCCCGATGGTGGAGCGGCAACAAGACCGTCTAGTCAAGTCAATCCGCACCGATCGAGGGGGAGAGTTCCTGAGCAAGGAGTTTGGGTTGTGGCTGAAGAAGAATGGTATTCGGCACTCCCTCACCATGCCATACTCCCCTGCAATGAACGGCATCGCCGAGCGAGCGAACCGCACAATCACGGAGGCGGCACGCGGGTTGCTCATTGAAGCCGGGCTACCCGACTATTTCTGGCCTGATGCGGTGCGGAGCGCGTGTGTGGCCAAGAACAGAGCCTTGACTCATGTGGGAGCAGACAAATGGGTGCCCTATGTGGAGTGGCTAGGAAGGAAGCCAAAGGTGGATATGCTTCGGGTGTTCGGGTGCATGTGCATGGCGCTCGTGCCTAAGCATCTTCGGCACAACAAGCTTGGTGCCAAGGCGGTGTGGGCCGTGCACTTGGGCATGGCTCAAAACAGCAAGGGATGGCTTCTTTGGGACCCATTCACCAAGGAGTTCTTGGTGAGCAGGGACTGCAAGTTCATGGAGAACTTCATGTACAAGGATTGGAAGGCGGAGAATGAGGCGAAGATAGGCGTGCGGTTTGGGGAGGTGAAGAGTTCCGGTTTGGAGCATGTGGAGCTGCCTTTGGAGCTGAGCAGCGGCAGCACAACCACGAGGCAATCCTCCCTTGTGAATGGGGGAGAGGAGGCCAATGATGCAGAGGAAGAAGAGGAGGAGGTGCAGCAAGTGAGCGAGCGTGCACCGTCACTCCCTTCCCGTACTACGAGTGCTCCACGGATTCGAGCCACACCGCAGCAACACCAAGGCCTTCAAGTCCCTGCAGCTGAGGAGGAAGGAAGGGGGAAGAGGAGAGTTCAACCCCCTAATAGGCTGACCTATGATGCGCCGGGAAAGCAGGGCAAGACAGCCCTGGCCGGAGCGGCAATGATGGTCGGAGACGACGAGGAGAGTGACTACGAGGAGTGTGCCTTCGCGTTCTTCTCTCCGGTGGAGATGCCGGGAGAACCAGCAACTCTCAAGGAGGCTTTGGAGAGTAGTGATGCTGAGGAGTGGAAGAAGGCCATGGAGAGTGAGCTGAAGAGTATCGAGGAGAATGACACGTTTGAATTGGTGGAGCTACCGGAGGGGCGTACGGCGATAACGTCCAAGTGGCTCTTCAAAATCAAGTCGGATGCCGACGGCAAGATCGAGCGCTACAAGTCTAGGCTTGTAGCCAAGGGGTACCAGCAGAAGGAGAAGGTGGACTTCAAGGAGCTGTTTGCCCCTGTGGTGAAGCCGACGACGCTGCGAACCCTATTCGCGGGAGCCGCCATCAAAGGATGGGTAGTAAAGCAAATGGACATCGTAACGGCATTCCTTAACGGCATCCTTGAGGAGGAGATTTTTATGGCGCAGCCAGAGGGGTTTGATGATGGTAGTGGCAGAGTGTGGAAGCTGAAGAAGGCCCTCTATGGGCTGAAGCAGGCCCCTAGGCAATGGTACATGAAGCTGCGAGAAGTGTTGGAGGGGATCGGCTTCACTCCCTCAACGGCCGATTCCTCCTTGTTCATGCTTGGCGAGGGGGAGCAGAGGAGTTTCATGGTGGTTTATGTGGATGACATCCTCATTTTCTCACCCTCTTCTGACCTTGTGAAGGAGGTGATGCTGAAGCTTCAAGACAAGTTCAAGTGCAAGGCCCTTGGTGACGTGAGCTTCTACCTTGGGCTCCACATCGAACGAGATGTGGAGAAGCGGTGCATGCGGGTGCATCAACGAAAGTACCTGGAGGCATTGGCTGCCAACTTTGGGCAGAGTGAAGGCCATGTGGCTACACCCTTTCCCTCTGGGTTCAAGTGTGTGAAGGGACCAGAGGAGGAGAGCGTTGGTGAAGAGGAGAGGCGCCGATTTCACTCGTTGGTGGGCAGCCTCATGTATGCGGCGGTAAACACCCGACCGGACGTCGCGTTTGCTACCGGGCAGCTGGCTAGGGTTGTGCAATGCCCTAATGAGGAGCAGGTAGCAGCTGGAATGAGGGTGGCCAAGTATCTTGGCCAAACACCGACCGTTGGGCTGCAATACTCGGCGGCGGCACAAAGGCGCCAAAAGGGCGCGGATGGTGTTGAACCCGGGCGTTTGTTCCTCACCGCCTACTCGGATGCTTCATATGCATCAGAACCAGAGGACATGACAAGTGTGGGAGGCTTCATATGCTGTGTTGGTGGAGGCCCAACTGCTTGGGAGAGCAAGAAGCAGGTTGACCAAGCTTTGAGCTCGGTGGAGTCCGAGTACATGGCACTCTTCCGTGCCGTACGGGAGATTGTGTGGCAGCGGCGTTTGTTGGCTGAATTGGGGGAGGAGCAGCAAGGACCTACCCCACTGTACTGTGACAGCCAGGGTGCCATTGCTCTTGCTAAGAACCCTGTGTTGCATGGACTCACGAAGCACATGAGGGTGAAGTGGCATTGGACGAGGAGCATGGTAACCGCGGGTGAAGTTGAGTTGCGCTACGTGAAGACCACGGGGCAGCCGGCTGACATGATGACCAAGAGGCTGGTGGAGCAGCAGCATTGGAAGTGTTGCAAGCTGGCTGGGATGGCTCTGAACTGAGAGAGCAACATATCCTAAGGCCAACAATCCGAGGGGGAGTTTGTTGGTGCAACCCTACGGTGTGCACTCGGCTTGTTGTCCGTGTGCGTGAATGTGTGTGTGTATGGAATGGTATGAGGGCATGGGATAATATATATTTCATGCTTATAATTGTGTGTGAATGTTGAGTCATGATGTCGAGTGTGTGTGTCGAGTCAATAGCGAGTTATCGCTAGACGCGTGTTACGCGGTCGTTTGTGTCTCGCGCGCGGTTTCTATTTTGTCGTGCGCGGTTTCTATTTTGTCCTGTGTCGAACGTTCGGCGTGTCGCAGGTGTGTGCAGCAGACCCATCAAGAACTCAAGGATGAGTTTGTGATGAAGAGCCCGAGCCTTGGTGTCAAGCCTCAAGTGATTTCGAAGCTCGCCAAAAGGGTACACCTCAAGATATTGAAGATAGTTACATTACTTTGTGTAGTGTAACATTTCACTTGGTGTAGGCCCTAGTGAAGGGTAGTTTCGAGACCCTTCGTGGTTGGGGACAGTGTGGCACTGTTCCACATCACTGTACCTCGGCTCTTGGGGTTTGTAGGAGCTGGGAGTCATTCCCAACTCGTAACTCTTCCTATCTTGTGTTCTAAGACTATAGTGGCTGCCATAGTACCGTTCGTTCAAACCAACACTGTGTCGTCAATTCTTTATCAAATCGTGCAATCTAAATTGCTAATTGTAGACGACGTGAAGATGCTCCAGATCCAATTTGAATAAAGTCATTTGCAGCTGTGAGCAGAACGCTATCAACGTTTGAAGCCGCTGTGCAGAAATCCGTCTGTGCTCTCTATCTTTCGTTTTAGGCACATTCAAGCCTATTGTGACTATAACACTACTGTGCCTCACTTGCTTTCTTCTTGACTCTGCCTGTACTGTACTCTTTGTACGTATACCTGCATGCTTATACTTGCTAGGTTGTGTTCACTGTATTGTTTGCTTTTCTTTATATAACTCTGCATGTGAACTGGCCTTGTGGCCCTTTGCTTGTGCTCAGACTGCGTGGTGACTTTGTGATCCACCCTGAGCTTGCTTTGTCTTTCTTGACTGGTCTTGTGACCTCTTGTTCTCCCCCACTTTGCCTATGGGGGTGTGTCAAACTTATATCTGCTATAGTCTGTTTAGGCTGTAGTGGGGTAGTTCCTAGAGGGTACAACACTTTTGTGTTCTCTACTTGTACCCACCTTGTTTCTAGTTCAATCATTCATTTTTCAATTATCTCACACGGTGGGTGGGTGATGGATGTGGTAAGTGGTTGTGATGGATGTGGTAAGTGGTTGTGATGGGTGTGGTGTGAGCGCGAGGTCACCATTCTGCCTTGGCTTGCGCGGGGTGCAGTGGCAGGCGGTGTCCCAGCAGTCGCCGCACTGCTCTGGCCTCGTGGCTGGACCCATCGGACAGGCGCAGGCAGCGCGAGCGAATGTCACCGATGGCAGGCCCACCTGGGGGCAGAGAGAGTGGTGCGGGATGAGGGGGTCAAAGAGGGTGTGGAGTGAGAGAGGTGGGCGCTGGAGGGAGCATGAGAAGCGTGGTGTGGCAGCGTGGTGTGGCAGCGTGGTGTGGCAGCGTGGTGTGGCAGCATGGTGTGGCAGCGTGGTATGGCAGCGTGGTGTGGCAGTGTCATGCGGCAGCGTGATGCAGCAGCGTGGTGTGGCAACAGTAGAACCAGCGTGATGTGGCAACAGTAGAACCAGCGTGATGTGGCAACAGTAGAACCAGCGTGATGTGGCAACAGTAGAACCAGCGTGATGTGGCAACAGTAGAACCAGCGTGATGTGGCAACAATAGAGCCAGCGTGATGTGGCAACAGTAGAACCAGCGTGATGTGGCAACAGTAGAACCAGCGTGATGTGGCAACAGTAGAACCAGCGTGATGTGGCAACAGTAGGACCAGCGTGATGTGGCAACAGTAGAACCAGCGTGATGTGGCAACAGTAGAACCAGCGTGATGTGGCAACAGTAGAACCAGCGTGATGTGGCAACAGTAGAACCAGCGTGATGTGGCAACAGTAGAACCAGCGTGATGTGGCAACAGTAGAACCAGCGTGATGTGGCAACAGTAGAACCAGCGTGATGTGGCAACAGTAGAACCAGCGTGATGTGGCAACAGTAGAACCAGCGTGATGTGGCAACAGTAGAACCAGCGTGATGTGGCAACAGTAGAACCAGCGTGATGTGACAACAAAAGAACCAGCGTGATGTGGCAACAGTAGAACCAGCGTGATGTGGCAACAGTAGAACCACCTTGCAGAGGGGCGGTGAGGCAGAGAGCAGCAGGGTGTGAGTGGCTGACCTATGACTCGCACGATCTCTGCGGTGCTGCCGCCATCATCGGAGACTGGCAGCACGTGCGCCACAGCGGTGGTCCACTCGTGCAGCTCCTCCGCCACCGCATTGAACGCTGTGCCTCCTGCCGCACCACGCATGCAGGGGGGCACAAGGCCGGCACCGGCACCACAGAGAGAGGTGCACGTCATCATGTAGAGCGGCAGGGGTGGCGGCAGGTGACAGGGGCAGGCGAGGCAGCGGGAGCAGCGGGAGGGTAGGGAGGGTACCTGAGAAGATAAGCAGAGATGGCTCCTTGCACAGGTGGCCCTCCATTGATGCGCATGCATCCGCATGGGCGCTCCTGTGACTGCCCACACTGAAGGGCGCGTCTGACCAGGGGTCTGCTGCCCCTAGGGTGGGGGCTGACCCTGACGTCACGGCGGCCAGCACAGGCAGGTCAGCACACGTGGGTGCGGGATGTGCGTGCGCGTGTGAGAGCGGGCCTGCTGTGCGCCGCTCCTCTGCTGCCGCACTGTCTCCTCGCCCTGCTGCTGCCCTCGCTCCCACCCCTGCAGCACAGCCTCGTTCCACGTGCTCGCCCTCACGCACGCTCATGTGTGATGCGGCTGCCAGCCCTACCTCCTCCGCGCTGCTGCCCCACACCACCTCCCCCACGCACACTCCCCTTGCAGCCGTGCCCGCCCGCTTCTCCTCCACCGCTTCTTGCCGCGGAACGATGTTCACGCGTCCTCCACCGCTTCTTGCCGCGGAACGATGTTCACGCGTCCTCCACGCATTCTTCCCTTTCCCATCTCCCACTCCCGACTGTCCCCGCTTCCCCCGCTCTCCACCACCCTTGATCCCCCCGCTCTGCCTGTCCCCGCCGTCGTTGCGGACAACTGCGCTGCGGCGACAGCAACACGGCGGGTGCGCGCGCACGAAGAAAATTCGAAGCAATCGCTCCGGAGGCGGTCGGCAATAGCCCCTCTGGCACGCGGCCGCTGGGGTAAGTGCCTCGCATGCAGCACGAGGAGGGGTTCGCACAAGCGGGCATCACAAAAACAGCGAGGGTGGAGGGGTAGCATTACTAATGCTAAACCTAGTACGTTCAGGTGCTTCAAAGCTGCTCGGCGTGAAATGAATTTAGGGTTACGCCAGACCTACCTTGCAGCTGCTTTCAACGTGGGCGCTTCGCGAAACAGCGGAATGACTACGCGATTTGATTTTGAGCTTGCGTGGAGGAGTTTCATTCATTCTGGATTCATGGCTACGGGAAAGCTGCTTCAAGCGAAATGCTTGGGGTGATGCAGGGTTGTGGCAGGCGCTGGTGCTAGCAGCCACTGCTGGTGCTGGCGCTGGCGGTTGTCACTGGCGCTTGCGCTTGGTTTTGGCGCTGGTGTTGGTGCTAACGCTGGATGAGTCCTGGGAAACTGCCTTTCTGGCAGGTCCTACCTGGCGTTATCTTTAGCAAATCAACCAATCGAATTTGAGGCATGAAAATACGGAGACTCAATACAAGATATAGGTAGTCAAGTCATTCCATAACACTTACTTACCTACGTCGACTGAACAAAGGCTAATCCACCTGCCACCTGCTAGTACGGTAAGCTAGTCGTCGTCTTCTGAGGGTCGGCCACCGGAGAAGAGGTAGGAGGCGGGCAGGTGCAGCACGCGGCCCGACATGATGGGCGGCATGGAGCGGTCTATGGGCACAAACCCTCGCGAAGGGGGTGACGGGTCGTTGGCCTCTGGGGGTCCGGCGGGGATGTCGCAGTGGGGGCGGGCGAGGGTACCGCAGCAGAAGAGGTGCGCCATGAGGTGCGCCATGAAGAGCTGCATGCGCTGCGGCTGCTCCACGTCCTCCTCCGCTGACAGCATCGGCGGCACCACAGCGTGCAGCGCCGCCTTCTCCCCCTCCGCGTCCCGGCTGTCTGCAGGCGGGCCAGACGCGTCCATCAGCAGCGGGGTCAGTGCCGCCGCCACGCTGCCGACGCTGGGGTGGGGTGGCTGGCTGCTTTGGTGGTTCTGCAGTTTGTGAGAGAAGGCCCACCTCCTACGCACACCCGGCAAGGAGAACCCGCTTCAGGCACTGATGGGGTCGTAGCGGCTTGCTAATCAACTCTCAATCCAATCGTCTAGGGTGGAACGGGCAGCAAGCAGCAGCTTCGTGACAATCGCAAGGAGTTGGTGGCACTCCGTACAGCTCCCTGCACTCACACGCCTCTCTGCACTGCGCTGTGTAAGGCCGTGCCGTCACAACGCGGCGACCATCCCTGCTGCCACCATGTGCGGTGGTGCTGCCAGGCTGGAGGTAAGGGGGGTGACTGGAACAAGGGGCGGATGAAAGGGGATAGGTGGCACCAGAGTGAGTGAATAAGCATGGGGGAAATTACGAATGAGGAGAGTAGGAACTAGGAGAGTAGGAATGGGAAGACTAGGCATGGGGGAGAGGAGGCGTGGGGAGGGTAGGGAGGGAGAAGGCATTGGAGTGTAAGCATGAACGTGCCGTGCCAGGATGGGTGGGTGTGATTCAGGAGCAATGGCCGCAGCGCGTTGGCCAAGACTAGTGTGGTGTCATGCTCACGTGGTTCGCCGTCATGGCTCAGAGCATCTTCGCTCATCGCCCAAGACATGAGACGAACGACGCGCACGCACGTAGAGATCACCGCATGCACGCAACACATACGATATGACTGGTAATCAATTCCGATTGGTCGCATCTTTGCGACATGGCGCGAGCTGGATGAGCGACGTTACCAAGAGGCGAGAATAGCGCGCGCCGCGAGCGAATCAACAGGACTTGGATCAACTGCGCGGACAGTGGATTGCCTGCGACTGCCGCTGCCTCGCAAAGGCAGCCGCCGATGAACGTCGAGCGCCAAACGAGACTCGATGCTTCCCTCCTGTTGCGCCTTACGTGCTGCTTCTTTGCCGCGAGTCTAAAAATGAAAACGACATGCGACGACCGTAGCTGAGAGAAAATATAGGAGTGTCTAGTAACTGATTGGAAGGGCGAGAAGAGACAACGCCGACAAGATGTGCTGGGTTCCCCTCAAGCCTGCAATTGCTTCCGTACCTCCACCCAACCTGGCTGGTTCGGGCACAAGGGAACCTTGTCGTCTAGACTCGGGACTCTGGGGAACAGCAAATCAAGCCCTTGGAAGCACTGTAGCTCAGGTGCGGTAACGAAGGGTGTTAGTAGGCGAAAGTGTTGGCGAAGAACCATGAAATTCTCCAGGTTCGCACAACGTAGTAGCCAGTCAAAATGAGGGTATTGACGAAGTTCGAGTGTTTACTTGTTGCCCTGATTTCGCGAACCTCGATATTGGTTTCTCGAATGTCCCATTTAAACCGAAGCAAAACATCAACCTCGCTAATCATTTTGAACCACAAGACCAACTTTTTGAACAACCTCGCCTTTGTCCGCCTTTCCCATTCCGCCACCCCACCCCACCCCACCCAGAGAGGTAGAGTCCGGAGATGAGCTCCCGTTGGTTGCACAGTAATTATCTAAGCGACGACCAGGACTGTCCGCTTCGCAAACATACATAGATAAATCTTCCGCTCATTGCGAACCGTTTTGACCGCTGCATCAATCGCGGCGGCGCAAGCTAAGCCCATTGTAGCGCGGGACGCGGCAGCGCGCGAGCAGCATGTCGCGCATGGTGCAGTGCCCGCGGTGTCGCGCCATCCTGCAGGAGCCGCCCATGGGGCACCCCTTCTACAAGTGCGGCAGCTGCCTCACCGTCCTGCAAGGTGCCGCCCCCCGCTTGCCCTCCCTTCTTCCCCCATCTCGCCTCTCGCCGCCCCCCTCCGCGTCCCGCCACGTGTCTCTGATTCGGCCTTCCCAACCAACGCGTCGCTGACCGCTAGTCGATCCCCCGAGTCATTCTTCGCACTGCGCGTCGCCCGCGTACGCCGCGCACAGAAGTGAGGCTCGTCGCGTCAGGCTGGGCAGAGCAGCAGCCCTCATCTGTCACCCCGCTGCGGTGCCCACCCGCCACGATGCGTGCACCCGCTGCGCGCGGTCGTTTAATCCGCAAAATATTCCTACTTTGCTACCCTGCCCCCTGCATTTTCATCTTGCAAACCTGCTCTGTTTCCATTCGTCCCACGACTCCCCTTCGCTGCCCCACCGCCCCTCTCCTTCCCTCCACATTTCCGCCCTCGTGTTCCCGCCGTCAGCGAAGCATGCCGTGGGCGTGGCGGGGCCGCGCCATCCGGTGGGCGTGGACGTGTCCTTGCCTCGCGCCTCCTCCTCCGCCAACCTCTCCGCGCCTTCCGCTGCAGCACCGCGCGGAGAGGGAGAGGGGCAGCGGGAAGCAGCGGGAGTAGCGGGTGCGGGCGGCGAGGGGGCGAGATTTAACCGTAGCGACAGCAGGGGCGCTGGGTTGAACGATGCAGAGATGCATGCGCCGCAGCAGCAGTCGCCGCAGCAGTCGCCGCAGCAGTCGCCGCAGCAGTCGCCCGCGCACGCGATGGTGCCTCGCCAGCGCACCATGCCTTCGCGCCTCTTCCCCGCCGCCCACTCCGCCCACTCCGCCCACGCCCCCTCCCCTTTCTCTCTCGCCGCGCCCTCCTCCCCCGGCCTCAGCCGCCCTGGCAGCACCGACCGCCCGGAAACCCCAAGCGGAGCAGCGGGGGCGGAGAGCGACAGCGAGCGCGCGGCCCAAGGCGTGCTCCCCCGCCAGACCACTCTCCCCCCCCGCTTCCCGCACGCCTCCCGCTTCGCACAGCCTCTGGGCCAGCCGCCTCCGGGCCTGCGCACGGCCTCCCCAGACCCGCGCGCGCCTGCAGCAGCGGAGGCGAGCGGGGGGAGAGAGCGGGGCAGTGGGGCGGAAGGGGGAGAAGAGGGGAGCGGAGGCGAGGAGGGGGAGGACGTGGCGGAGCTGAGGCGGCAGGTGACGATGCCAGGGGGGGCGGCGGGGGAGGGCGGGCGGTGGCGGGAGATGGGCGCGCCGAGCAGGGGGCTGCTGAGACAGCTCACCGACCCGCAGGAGAATAGACCCACCGCCAGAGTGGTGCAGAGCGGTGAGGCAGGGGGGCCGAGCGAGGGGGCGGACTGGCAGGAGAGGGAGGGCGGAGGCATGGGCGCGAGGGCAGGCGAGTGGGGTGAGGGTGCGTCAACAGCAGGGTCGAGCGTGGGGCCATCGCCCTCGCTGCTCCACATTCTCACGAGGCAGCGATCACAGCACAGCAGAGCGGGCGAGCAGGAGCGGGGTGCAGGGCGGGGCGAGGAGGCCGAGGAGGAGGAGCACGGGATTGGAGGGCCGAACAGAGCAGCAGAGAGGGCGGGGGTAGCAGGCGTGGGTGGTATGAGCGGCGGTGGGCGGGGGGGAGTGGGGAAGGGCAGGGGCAGTCATGAGGGGCCGTACCTGATGCGGCTGAAGGGCGAGGACGAGGGGGAGGGGCAGCCTGGGGGGCGCAGTGAGTGGCGTGGTGGCAGCGCCGCCAGCAGCAGGCTCTCTTACGACTCAAACCCTGATTTGACCATGGCCATGAATGGCATGAGCATGGGCATGGACGATGCGGGCATGGGCATGGATGGCATGGGTGCAGGCAGCAGCAGCAGCAGCAGCAGCGCGCTCATCCGCCAGCGCACCATGCCTCTGCCCTGCCCCTCCCACCGTGCGCTCTCTGCTGCGCCCTCTCTCCCCCACGGCCACTCCCCCATGCCGGCCCCCACGGTGGGGGCAACACACAGCGCGGACACCAGCGCGGGTAGTGGCGCAGGCAGCCCCTATGCCTCCGCGGACGCCCCCTCGTGGCTGCCCCGCCAGCACACCATGCCCGCCTCCCTCCCGCCCCCTGTGCCCGCCCCTGCCTCCCCCGCGCCCGCCTCCCCCGCCTCCGCCTCCAGAACCGCTGCAGGGGCAGGGGCAGGCGCAGGGGGAGGCGCAGGGGGAGGGGGAGGGGCGGAGGCGGGCGGGGCGAGTGGGGGAAAGGGGCTGAGGGAGCGGCGGCCACTGGCATCGAAGCTAAAGGCGCTGCTGGAGCTGAAGCCGCTCAGAGGGGCGGGGGGGGAGGGCGCGGGCGAGGGGGGCAAGGGGGCGAGTGCGTGGCGGCTGGCGGGCGTGGGGCAGGTGAGCCCGCTGCAGGGCGCTGCCAGGTACGTCCAGCAGGCCTTCGCCCCCCGCTCGCCCAAACCCGCCAAGGCAGCGCCGGCGCAGAGGGAGCGAGGCCGGGAGGGGGCGGGTAGCGGAGGCGTGGCAGGAGGGAGGGGCGAGGGCGCGGAGAGAGGGGTGGGGAATGGCTTGGGCGAGGGGATGGGGGAAGAGGAGGAGGGCGAGCAGTGGGGGATGCAGGGGGTGGTGGCGCGGAGGAGGGGAGGGGTGGAGGAGCAGGAGGTGTGGAACAGCGGTGCTGTAGCCATGTCGGAAGGCAGAGGCATGGGGCCAGAGGGCATGCAGCCACACATGGGCATGGGCGTGGGCGTGGGGATGGGGTTGCAGTCTTATTCCATGCACATGGGCCCGCCCAGAGGCGTGGGGATGGGCATGGGCATGGGGGTGCAATCGTATTCCATGCACATGGGCCCGCCCACAGGCATGGGCGTGGGCGTGGGGGTGCAATCATACTCGATGCACATGGGCATGCCCTGGCGCTCTGCCTCCCATGCGCAACCCATGGCAGGGGAACCAGGCACGGGCATGGGTGGCGGCAGGAGGAGCATGGGGGGGGGTGGTGGGGGTGCAAGGGAGGAAGCAAGGCTGGCGGTGGGGGAGGAGGGCGGGGGCGGTGGCGCGGTGTACAGGAGAAGCGCGAGCTCGAGAGGATTGGAGGAGGGCGGGGCTATGGGGGCAACGGGGCAGGCGGGCGACAGGAACCAGGCTGGTGCGATGGGCAGGAGGGGGGCAGGGGGGTGGGGCAGTGGGGACGCGAGGAGTTGGGGCAGTGCAGGCAACGTGGCAGCAGCAGGGCGAGGGGACGCGTACAGGGCAGAGCAGGGCATGGCGCGGCACTCTGACGCCCATGGTGTGGGCAGCGCCCCGCCCCAGCAGCAGCAGCAGCAGCAGCAGCAGCAGCAGCAGCAGCAGCAGCAGCAGCAGCAGAGGGGCCATGCAGCAGGGGGGGCAGGCGAGGGGCCTGCAGGTGTGAAGACGGGTTGGGGGGCACAGGGGCATGTGGAGGGCGAGCGGCAGGCAGGTGCAGCAGGAGCAGCTGCGGGGCCCACAAGCAGTGACAACCAGGCGTCCTCCCAGGTGCCGCCGGACCTGCCGTGGCTTCCCCCGCCAGACGCCCCTCAGTTCGTGCAGGTCAGTCAGAGGGCGCTGATGGGCGCTGTTGGGTAGTGATGGGTGGTGGTAGGCGCACATGAGCGCCGGCACTGTAAACGCTCCAATATCCCTCCACCTGCCACCTGCCGCCTTCCTGCGCCCATCCCCTTGCCTCCCTCACCACTTTGTGTGCCCCTCTTAAACTCTCTCACCCTTTTCTCCTCCACTTCCTTGTGCCTCCACCACCCTTGCCCCCTCGTCCCTCCTGTTCCGCGCTGCAGTGCCAGCACTGCGGGCAGACACTAGCAGTGCCGCAGAATCTGCCACGCAGCCGCAAGAACAAGATGGTGCAGCGCCTCAGGTGCGGCAGCTGCCTCGCTATCTCCTCCTTCGCCATCCCAACCTCCCCTTCACCCGCCCTCCCCTCCTCCGCCCTCCCCTCCTCCGCCTTCCCCGCCTCCCACTCCCTGCCCCTCCACCTCCACTCCTCTCCATCTCTCGCTTCCGCGGAACTCACCCAACCTGATGGCCATCCTGCCTTTACCCCAGAACAACCACAGTATAGCCAGCAGCAGCAGCACCAGCAGCCACAGTATAGCCAGCAGGGACAGTATGGCCAGCAGCCACAGCAGCAGCCGCAGTACAGCCAGCAGCAGCAGCTGTATAGCCAGCAGCAGCAGCAGCAACAGTATAGCCAGCAGCAGTATAGCCAGCAACAGCAGCAGCAGCGGGTGCGCATGAGTGAGAGGGAGTGGCAGCAGCAACGGCAGGCAGCAGGCCCCATGGGTCGCTCCTCCTCCTCCCCGGGTATACACCCCCACGCTGCTGCTGCCTCCCCCGCCCTCTCCTCCTCGCCCTCCCCCCTCCACCTCCCCCACCACCACCTCCCCGCCGCCCCCTCCTCGCCTCCCCCTGCTGACTGGACACCGCCCCCTGCTGACTGGACACCGCCCCCTGCTGACTGGACACCACCCCCTGCTGACTGGACGGAGAGGGCAGCGGATTCTCCTGTGATGAAGCGCCTGCAGAACGGGGCACGGGCGAGGGGGGCGTGGGAGGAGCCGCAGCCGCGCGGGGCAGCAGGAGCGGGCGGCAGGCTGCAGGGCGGGCTGGAGGAGGAGCTGGGGGCGAGGTGGCAGGGGGAGGGGCAGTGGCGGGCCGGGCGGCAGGAGTCGTATGGGAGTGGGAGTGGGGGAGAGGCGTACTGGGAGGAGGGGGGATCGTATGGGAGGGGCGTGGTGGTGAATGGCAGCCCCATTGCTGATGGCCTCGTGGCTCAGGCTGAACTCACTGCTGGCTCCATCCTCCCCGGCCACTACTGGTACCCACTCCCCCTCATGCTGCCTTGCTGCACCACATCTGTGCTTGCTGCACCACATCTGTGCTTGCTGCACCACATCTGTGCTTGCTGCACCACATCTGTGCTTGCTGCACCACATCTGTGCTTGCTGCACCACATCTGTGCTTGCTGCACCACATCTGTGCTTGCTGCACCACATCTGTGCTTGCTGCACCACATCTGTGCTTGCTGCACCACATCTGTGCTTGCTGCGCCACATCTGTGCTTGCTGCACCACATCTGTGCTTGCTGCACCACATCTGTGCTTGCTGCACCACATCTGTGCTTGCTGCACCACATCTGTGCTTGCGCCTTACGCCACACTTTCAAGTGCTGCTGCTCTCGTGCCCCCCACCTCTCACCTGCTTCACCGTGCCACCCACCATTATCCCCTCCTCCTCCCTCCCAGGTACGACCACAGAGCTGGCTTCTGGGGGGTCATGGGAGGCCCGTGTCTCGGCATCATCCCTGTAAGCCATCCTTAGCCCCCACCCCTCCTCACATTGCCCACCTTATCAACATTCTGCTACCATCGCCATCCCCATGTAGCTCCGGCTCCTGTGAGCCTCACCACTGCCTTATCTCAACCCCCCCCTTGGCATCCCCCTGTGTGGATGTGCATGCAGGCGCGCCTGCCGCAGTTCCCAGAGGCCATGCAGCGCGAGTGCTCAGGGGGGAGGACGGGAGTGGTGGTGAACGGCAGGGAGCTGCAGCGCCGCGACCTCGACCCCCTCGTGCGCCGCGGCGTGCCAGCGGTGCCCCACTGCGCGTACCTGCTGGACCAAGACGGCCGCGTGCTCGATGCCGCCTCCGGCTCCCTCGTTGCCAACCTTGAGCCCCTTGCACCCTCGTGAGTCGCCCTCACACCCCGCCGTGCTGGTCTGCTGTCCCGTGCCCATCCTCTATGCATGCAAGCCCGCTTTGCAGAATTTGTTTCCACTTACTTACTAGCTTATATGACGTTGGCTGGAAGGTGACTGCATGCTCCAGATGCAGCTGGCACCTGCTTCTCTCTTTTGAGTTGCACCATATCCCCGTGCTCCTCCCTTCCCGTACAGGCTCAAAACTAAGCGGGGGAATGGCATGTTCACTCCACAAACAAACTGATTATTGGCTTGTGTTTAGAAGGGGTCGGAATTCAAGTGTTTTGTGTAGGGTCCCCCATCACCTTGCAGTTGAATGAAGCATTTGCAAGCAGGCAAATCCTCTTCTTCAAGTAGTTTTTTATTGTTACCTTTTTTATTTCATACTGTATACCTATCAAACATCGACACACAAGTTCCCAATGTGTGAATTCCGAACTGTTCTCGACGATGCGCGGGAAATTTACCCCTCGTGCACCAAAGCGCGACGCGGTCAGTACCCGAGGGGTCCACCTGGGCTTGACCTGGATCAGATCGTCAAATCCCAGAGGTTGTCGCCGAGCCGCATGAGAAGGGGCTGTTGCAGTGAACTGTGGCTGCTGCTCGCGTGGCACCAGGGTGGCGGGAATTTTTTCACGTGGCGAAATTTTTCGCCGCAATTTCCCCGTCAGCCAAAATCCGAATATGCAAAAGGCATCTTGCAAAAATGCCCACTCGCCACCACACCCTTCCTATCTCCAGACCGCAAAACCTACCAATCAAAACCTATCAATCCTCCACCTCAACTCTCCTCCTATCCTCATCATCTTTCTCATCCCATTATCCACCAATCAAACAAAAGATTCCATACCAAGCCTTCCAATCCAAGCCACATTCATTCCACTCACCAAGCCTTAAAATCAAAGCCAAATACATCCCATTCACCAAGCCTTAACTTCAAGGCCACATTCATTCTCTTCACCAAGCCTTCACTTCAAGGCCACATTCATCACCCCCATCTTATCCAACTCAACCAATCACAACCATTCATCCTTTCCTCATCCTTCATCCAACATCAAGCTCCACCAAATACAAAAGGGTCCTCTTCATTTCTTCAAACTCATATTCTTCAATGCTACTTCATACCCAAACTCTCAACAAGTTCTTCAAGCTCCCTCAAGGCCAACCTCAAGTCCTCCTCCTTATGCTCCAACTCCTAAGGCTTCATCATCACCACCAACCTCTCCCAACCCAAGCTCATAGCCATATGCTCCAATTCTAGAGAAGTTTGTGCCACATAGTTTTACTTCTAGATCATCAAGGATAGTTGATCTCAAGATCCTACCATGTACCTCCCTTTTGATTAATGTACTTTAAAGCTTCAAGCAAGATTGGTGTATTCTTCTACCCAAGGTCCAAGCTCCAACCTCAACATCCAAGTTTTGAGGTTTCTCTTCATTCAACAAACATTATCTACAAGTCAACATTCAAGATCAACTTCTCAACATTCAAGCTTTGAGGTTCTTCATTAACAACTAAGACAACATTTAAGCTTGAAGTGAAGATCAACTTCTACAACATAATAGTAAGAACTCTTTTCAAGTAAGTGGTTATCTCTTCCTCTCATTTTTCACCAAGTTTCTTTTACATCAAAGTTCATTTGCTATTATCAAGTTGTTTTATATTCAAGCTCTTTCCATAATAATCAAGTTCTTATTCTCAAGTTCGTTATAAGCTCCTTTCAAGTATCTTTCAAGCCCTTTACCTTTTCTTCAATACTTTCTTTTAAGCCAATCTTGTTTGGTCCCTTTTATCCCTATCAAGTCTATCTATCTTCTCCTTCAAAGCTTTCTTCATTCTTAATTACTCCATACTTCAAGATTTCCTTTCAACTTGTTTTTGCTTTTCAACTTGGTTTTACTTTGATCTTACCTTTTCTTTCTAGGTGTTTTCTTTCTTTCTCCTTACCATTTACCCTCCCTCGTCTATAACTTCAATTTCAAGATGGTATCAGAGCCCGAGTTCATTCCTTTTTGCCTTTTCTTCCGTGCGCATCTTGTCTAGTTTTTTTTTTAAGCCCGTTATTTGCCATTAGTGGCATCCTTGCACTTGGTCTTGCGCCCCCTTTTGGGTCCTCCTTTTTGTGTTTCCCCTTTTTTTGTTTTTGTGTGTTTGTGTATGTGTGTGTGTGTGTGTGTGTGTGTGTGTGTGTGTGTGTGTGTTTGTCTATTTCCCCTTCCCCTTGTGTGAAATTGTTTGATTGTATCAGGAGTTTTAATTTACCAACATGGATGAAAAGGACAAGTGTTCCTATGGGATCAACTTCACCAGCTGTAACCACAAACTCTTCAAACGAATCAGCACCTCCTACAACCAACACATCATCTCCATCTACACCACCTACTACATCTACATTTACCTCCTCCTTAGTCCCCAAATTGGAGCTTCCACGCTTCAACGGCAAAGGTTTTTCATCATGGAGCATCCGCTTTCAACAAGCCGCCACTCTTCTTGATCTTTGGCCTATCTACATCGGCCAAAACACTCCCCCTTCAACTGCTGCACCGGATCAAGAACAGAGCAACTGGATCAAGAAAAATGCTGAAGCTTATCTCTATCTCCTCTCTTCCATTCAAGACCCCTACTCTCAACCCCTCCTCCTCGTATCAACTCAAAAGGACAGTGCCAGAGCTGCTTGGGAGCGGCTCAAACGTCTTCATCAACCTATTTCCCAAGGTTCTAAGGCAGAAGTGTGGAACAAGATTGTCTCTCTCCGCATGGGGGAGAGTGAGTCCATCCCCGACTACTTACAACGTGGTGAAATGGTCCTTTACGAAGCTACACTTCTCGACATTGAGGTCCCGGAATCTCTCTTCATCACCATTCTTCTAGCCGGACTTTCATCTGGATGGAGCACTATGAGAAGCACCATTCAAGCCTTTCCTGAGGAGACAAGGACCCGAGATTTCATCTTCAACACGCTCATCACCGAACATCAGACAAGAGAACTTGCAAAGCTTCAGAGGAATCCTGGACCAGCATGGAGTGGAATGACAAGTTCCAACTATCGCCCTCAACAAAGTGTTCAACAACAGAGCAAGTTTCAGCAAGGTAAGTCCTCTCAAACCCCAACACACTCTCTTCTTGGACAACCCACACCAAGTCATATTTCTCAGCTTGCATCATACTCTAATCATATTCCTTATAAGCCAAAGTCAAGGTATCAATTTGAGTGTCATTATTGAGCCACCATAGGAGTCGTTTCATATGAGAGAGACTCTACTCAATCGAATGCACCGAGTTTCGCATTTGCATCATCCTCTTGTCTCCATGCATTTACACAGGATCCCAAGATTTGTTTTTTGGACAGTGGATGTGATCAACATATGACCCCTCATGCCTCCCTCCTTCACAGCCTCAAGCCCTCCAATGTGAAAGAAGTGGTTGTTGCCAGCAACCATTCGGTGCCAGTTCAAGCAGAGGGAACAATGACATTTCTCAGTCCAGAGGGAATTCATATGTCATTCTCAGGCATTTTACTTGTCCCCTCACTAGGGGCGAACCTTCTCTCAATTGGTCAAATGGAAGAGAAAGGTATTTCCATCTCTTTCTCAGATGGTTCTGTGCAGGTTCGTGCTCCAACTGGACATCACATTGCAAGAGGTGTTCGTAATGGACGTCTCTATCGAGTGGAGATTGATGCACAGCCACCTGCCAAGCCCTACAGCAGTCCCTCAGTTGCTGCTACCACCACCTCAGTAAGACTTCATCCTGGTACATCTGCATCTCCTTACACCTGGCATTGTCGTTACGGTCACCCTGAAGAGTCTAGCATCACACGCATGCAAGCACATGCAAGTGTTGATGGTCTTATCATCTCCAAGCAGTTGTCATCATCTCAGTCATCGTGCCATACTTGTGTTGAGGCTAAGCTTCCTCGTCATCCTTTCTATTCTTCTGAGTCTGAAGTCTCTCAACTGCTTGAGCTCATTCATAGTGACCTGATGGGTCCTTCCCGTACACCAAGTCGTACTGGGAAAAGATATGTAATGTCACTCATTGACCATCATACAAAATTTGCTTGGATCTCTCTTCTTGGATCTAAAGATGAAGTTCCCGGTGTTATCCAGTCCTGGTTTCCTTATATTGAGCGTCAGTTGGGTCTCAAGGTCAAAATTTTTCGTTCTGATCGTGGAGGAGAGTACATGTCTAACTCTTTCCGCTCTTTTCTTGCCAACCTTGGAGTTGAACAGAAATTGTCATGCACAGCAACACCTCAACAAAATGGTACTGCTGAGAGGTACAACCGTACGATTCAAGAGATCTCAAGAGGTTTTCTTTCCCACATGAATCTGGATGACTCATGGTGGGGAGAAGCTGTTACACATGCTGCTTGGGTCAAGAATCGTCGACTGACAAGCTCCATTGCTGAGGGTATTACACCCTATGAGGCATTATATGGCATAAAGCCAAATGTGTCCATGCTGCGAGTATTTGGCTGCATGGGCCAGTACAAAGTGCTAGATGACAAACGCAGCAAGTTTGAAAGTAAGGCAGCATGGGGCATGCATCTGGGCATGGCCAAGGAAAGTAAGGGCTGGTTAATGTGGGATCCTCTCCTAAAAAGAGACATTGTGTCAAGGGACGTGATCTTCTATGTAGACATGTCCCCTTCTTCTTGGAAACTTTCTTTTCCTCTTGTTTCCTCTCAAGTTCCTCCCTTCTCTACCTTTGCAAATTTCGAACCTCCAACAATCATTCTAAGTGGAGTTTCTGCATCATCACCGCAGCAGCAACACGAAGACATGTCTCATGCTCAAGACCAACAACCACTGCCATCATCTTCTGCTCCCACCCCTCATCACCAAGAGCAACAGCAGCAGCAGCCGCCACCACCTCCATCACAACCAAACCAGTCAACCGCTCCACCTGTTCTTTCCTCTCATCCTCCTCCTCAGCCCCCAGTTAATTCGCTTCAGCAGCAACAACAACCATCTCCACCAGATTTACCT